GACCGTCGTCTCTCTCATGTCTATCTGATATAAGCGTGGTGAGAGTCTATGGTCCTACATCGACTGCTTTAAGAAAGAAGAGCTTGGACCTCGACCCCTCAGTTTCGATGCATGCAGCCATTAATAGCCTCTAGCCCAGACCCCTCACGTGGTCCATTGCTAAGACACCTCCCAAGAACAAGGAAGAATTTTTGAAGAAGTTACAAAAGTACATCGCCGTCGAGGAGGCCTCGGTTGGTGAACGTCTGGATGGCGAGGCCGACCCCAACCGAGGGGGTCTAGAGAAAAAGAGGAAGAACGGAGGCGGCTGCGGCAACAAGAAGCCGCTGGCCTTAACTTACAAAAAATATATGCCACTCAACTCCACCCAAATGCAAATCCTCATGCAAGTAGGGAAAGAGGAGTACATGAAGTGGCCGGAAAAAAATGAGAAGGAACCCCAAGAGGGGTAATCCTAAGAAATACTGCAGGTACCACTGCGACACTGACCATGACACCGATGATTGCTACGACTTGAAGAATGAGATCGAGTCCCTCGTTCGCCGTGGTCACTTGAAGGAATACGTGGGGGGCAATGCTGGCGTCTCATCCTCACAGCAGTAGTAGCACAACAACAATCTAGCTGACATCATCGATGTCATAGTAGGGGGCATGGCCTTAGGTGGAGCCTCATCCTCAGCCCAAAAGGCCTACTCTAGGCAGCTCACCATCCAGGGGACGACTCCTAAGAAGCCAAAGAAGGATGAGGTCATCTCCTTTTCAGACGACCTGAATGGCGTCTCGGTTCCCTACGATGATGCATTGGTGGTGACGATGACCTTCGCCAATTTCATGGTAAAGAGGATCCTCATCGACAGTGAATCATCGACCGACATCCTCTTCCATTACACTTTTAAAAAGATGAAGCTAATTGCAGAGCGGGTACAACCGGTTGACGTACCACTCGTTAGCTTCTCTGGGAACATCATCAAACCGGAGGGAGAATCACCCTATCGATCACGGTAGGAACAGAGCCTCGGTAGGTGGCGAGGATGACCGAGCTCCTGGTCATGAAGATCGGCTCACCTTACAACGCCATCATCGGCTGACCGACCCTTTATGCACTCAAGGCAGCCATTTCCTCTTACCACCTCACCCTCAAGTTGCCCACCGAGCACATCGTCGGAGTCGTTCAAGGGGATCAACAAATTGTTAGATAGTCCCATGTGGCAACAACACTAAAGGGCAAGAATAAGGAAGATTTGTCATTGGAGGTCGACTTCAGGGACGAACCGGTGAGCTGAGACCAACTAGACGAGGACCTCATCTCGGTTCCCCTAGACGATGACGAGCCTGAGAAGACGGTGCGCGTCAGGTCCAACCTTCCTCCAAACACCCTTCGGTCATTACTCACAAGCTAAGCGTGGACTTGAGCTTTAGGCCGGTTTGGCGAAAAAAAAGGAACTTTACATTGGAGTGTTGGAAAGCCATCGGAGAGGAGGTTGACAAGTTACTTGATGCCGGCTTCACCTGAGAGGTACACTACCCTACCTAATTCTCCAATGTGGTCATGGTAAAGAAGGCTAACAAAAAATGACTGTATTGATTTTATAGACCTCAACCGAGTTTACCTCAAAGACAGCTTTCCTTTGTCGAGGATCGACTACCTTATCAATGCCACCACACGGTACGAGCTATTGAGCTTCATGGATGTCTTCTTCGGATACAAACAGATCAAGATTCATGCCGAGGATGAGGAAAGACCTCATTCATCACTGAGCATGACACCTATTACTACAAAGTCATGCCCTTCGGCTTGAAGAATGCCGAAGCCACTTATCAACGGTTTGTGAACAAGGTTTTCAAGCATCAGATGGAAAGAAACGTCGAAGCCAATGTGGATGACATGGTTGTGAAGAGCCTAAAGGTCAACCATCACACCTCGGACCTAGCCGAGAACTTTGCTACTCTGTGGAAGTACAACATGAAGCTTAATCCCAGTAAATGTACTTTTGGTGTCACCTCGGGCAAATTCTTAGGCTTCGTCGCTATGCAGCAGGGTATTGAGGCCAACCCGGAGAAGATTTAGGCCATCCTTGACAATAGCACCACCTTGGTCTATCAAGGAGATGCAGAGACTCACTAGTAAAGTGGCTGCCCTCACCCGATTCATGTTAAAGTTGGTCGACCGCTACCTACCCTTCTGAGCCATCAAGAAACTGACCGACTTCTAGTGGACCAAAGAATGCCAATGAGCCTTTGATGAGCTGAAGTCTTACCTCGGCCGGGGATGAGGCTGTTAGTTCTATTTTGGTGAGAGAAGGAGGAGTGCAAAGACCTATATACTATGTCAGTAAGGTCCTCTGCGACGTTGAGACTCACTACCCCGAGGTGGAGAAATTGGCTTTCACCTTGGTGGTCTCGACCAGGAAACTCAGACCTTACTTTCAAGCCCACAACATCACCGTATTGACCAACCAACCTCTCAAGTTCGTCCTCTCCAAACCAGGGACTTCAGATCGATTGATTAAGCGAGCTATTGAGTTATCTGAGTTCAACCTACAATACTAGCCGAGACCTGGAATCAAAGCGCAAGCCCTGGTTGATTTCTTGGTGGAGTGCACCTTCAATGAACCCATCGGCCAAGATCCTGTAGAAGATGATGGACCTCGGTCGACTTGGAAATTGTTCGTGGATGGATCTTCCAATGCTAAGGGGAGTGGAGCAGGCCTCATACTGCTCGCCTCGGATGACAATGAGGTGGAATATGCAATGAGATTTGACTTCTTGACATCCAACAATGAAGCTGAGTACGAGGCCCTGCTTGCCGGGTTGCAGCTTGCCAAAGACCTCGTTGTCCAACACATTGAAGTCTTCAACGACTCTCAACTGGTGGTGAACCAAGTAAATGGCGAGTACGAAGACAAAAACCCAACATGGCTAAGTACTTGGCCAAAGTACAAGAGCTTTCCCACCACTTTTAGTGCTTTGCCTTGCTGTCAGTTCCATAGGCCGAGGACATGAGAGCTGATGCCCTATACAAATTGGTAACCACATCGGGTCTAGCCCTCGACTGCACTATCTATGTTGAGAAACTAGCATGACCCATCATTGAAGAGGTTCAAGTGCTCCTTAKGCAAGCCGACCCCTGTTGGATAGACCCCATCCTTGCCTACCTACAGCATGAGCAACTACCCGTTGATAGGAATGAAGCAAGACGTGTCCGACGACAATCTACCCACTATACTTTTCTTGATGGGTGTACAAAAGATCTTTTACCTTGCCCTACCTCCGATGCCTTCATTAGGTGGAGGGTGAGTATGTGCTCCGAGAGATCAATGAAGGCATCTACGACAACCACCTCGGAGGCAAAGCTTTGGTCCAAAAAGCATTAAGGCAAGGGTATTTTTGGCCGACCAAATAGAAGGATGCAGTAGAGTTAGTGCAAAAGTGTGACCGATGCTAGAGACACTCCAATATCTTCCATTGGCTAGCCACAACCCTCTCGGCCCTCAGCAGTTAATGGCCCTTCGCAAAATGGGGAATGGATCTCCTTGGCCCCTTTCGTCAAACAATTAGGAACAGGAAGTACCTCATCATCGCCATTGAATACTTCACCAAGTGGGTCGAAGCCAAGCCCTTGGCCACCATCACAACCAAGATGATCCAAAACTTCTTTTGGAAAAACATCATTTGTCGATTGAGCATCCCCCACATGCTCGTTACTAACAATGGGAATCAATTCGACGACGCCAAGTTTAGAGAATGGTGTGCCGGCCTCGGCATAAAGCAGCAGTACACCTCGGTAAGCTACCCCCAAACCAACGACCTAGTTGAGGTCACCAATAGGACAATCTTGGATGGGTTGAAGACAAGGTTAGACAGAGCCAAAGGCTTCTAGGCTGACAAGCTATACAACGTCCTATGGGCCTAATGGACAACACCTCAGACCGCCACAGGTGAGACATCTTTCAACTTGACTTACGACACCGAAGTTGTCATTCTAGTAGAGATCAGCCAAGTGACACTTTGAAGGGATACGGTGAATGATTAAGAACGGAGAAACAACTTGGATCTATTGGAAGGCATTCGAGAGCAAGCTGAACTCAAGGTTGCGGCTTATCAGCAGAGTGTAGCTCGCTACTACAACTCTTGGGTGAAAGAGCACCACAACAAGGAAGGGGACCTCGTACTCAGAAAAGTCATGGTGCCCGAGCTCAGTGTTGGCAAGCTCGGCCCCAACTAGGACAGTCCCTACAGAACCAAGCAGGTTGTCGGCCCCGACACCATTCGGGTAGAATACTTGAATGGAAGACCGGTTCCTCGTACTTGGAACTTTGAGAATCTCTGAATGTACTACAAATGAGTTGTAACTTTTGAAGGCTTACCAATGGAAATACTAAGTCCTAGGACCTCTCGGCCGTATAACTAGTCGAAGCACACAACTTTCACCAAGGTTATACGCTCGGACTGGACGACGACCAAGCCACACGACTCTTAGTGAGCCATATGCCTACTTGACCTTCTCGCTAAGGAAAGAAACTATGGGACTTCGGATATGGCATCGGCCAAAGACTTCGACCCACCATGAACAAACACACTAGCTTTGACTAAGTACTTTGCTAAAATGGGAAGCGTTTCGTGACCTCGGCCTGACACGTCCCCACGGCCTTGGCTACCCATAAGCTCACACCCRAAAATTCCCCATGGAAAGCAAAGCCATGCAGGCTAACGCATGCGCCTAGCCTCGAACCCTCAGCGGCACAATGCGACCTTGGCCTAGCTACCTTGACGAGGATGGGGAACATGCTAGGAAAACTAAGTCATTCGCCTCCCTTTCCTTCTTGCTAAGGAAAGGGGCCCCAATACCTTAACGGCATAGCTCGGCCTCGTCCTAGCAAGTTTAGGGGTGGAGAACAAGCTAGGAGATTTAATGCATTTGCCTCCCTTTCCTAGAAGGAAAGGGGCCACAAGCCCTCGGTAAAGAAGGCACAAGATATGCAAAAAGTGTATATGTATCTTTACAAAAAGTGGCCTTGGATGGGGGGCGGGGGAGACCCTTACAAAGTTATAAAAAAAAAAAAAAACAGAGAAAGATAAGAAAGAGCAACTCAGAACTACCCCTCAGACTTTGGTGTTCCCTTTAGTCGTTTCAACTAGCGCAGGCTGCTCCCCAATGGAACCTCAGCCCCTGGCTCAGGCAGGAGCCCCCAACTGCTTGACATCAAACTTGGGCATCAAAGCATGTACTTGGGCCTTGGTGTCATCAATGCCCTCTAGATATGCAGAAGCCCCGTAGGCAGCCAGTGCCTTATCATACTCCACCGACGCCTTCTAGGCCTCCACGGCCTCCTCTGCCTGCTTCTCGGCAGCCTTGTGCCCCTCCTCGGATAGGAGCCTCCTCTCCTCGGACGCCTTCAGCGCGTCCTTCAAGTTTCTCACCAGCTCCTTTTTGATCGTGATCTCGACCTCCAAGACCTTCCTCAAGTCATGTTCCTCGTGCATGGCCAAGACAATTGACTCTCGACCACTCTCTACTTCGGCAACCCGTACCTTAAGTTGATCCCTCTTCTCCTCAGAGGCTTTCAGCTGAGACAAAAGGACCTCCACTTTATTGCAAAGGTCGACGACATAACAGGTAGCCTACAGTGGAAATGTGGTTGTCAACAAAAGGAAAGCAAGAACAAGGCAGCCTACAACAAAACAAGTATCATTCACCTCAGCCATGCGGTCCACAAGGGTGCCGCAGACACCCTACATGCCCTTCTGGGTCATGGCGTGCTTGTCAGCCGACGACACCATTCCAGTAAGCAAGGCCTAGTCGACCCCTGAGGTGCTTATGGAGTCCCCATCCTTGACATTCCACTGAGGGTGGAAGGTATGTCCCCTCATCAACAACATGCCGTCCCTCAGCTTGGACGAAGAACGGGGCCCCTCAGCGTGCTCGTGCCTTTGTCATCGCCCTCAATTGGGCGATTCTTTGTTGCCAGCCTCTTACCCCTCGGGGGCTGAGCTGCTGAACTGGCTTGGTTGGCCTCTTCGGGGCAGGCACTCTCTGCTGGTCTGCCTCAACCGGTCCTTTCCCCCTCTCAGCTTTGACACCAGTAGGCGCCTGTGGTCGAGGTGTCCTCTCGGTGGGTGCCCCTCCTCTTGGTGCTTGTTTCTTGGACGAGCCCTTGCTCGGGGTCTTTTTCAACAACTTCGTCACCTCCAACAACAACTTCTTGGTGTTTGGTCGCATCTCTGCAAAAGCACAAAAAATTAAGTTAGTACTTACGCACAAAAAAGCAAGCCGACAATAGGAGCTCCCTTACCGAGGTGGGCGAGGCTAAGGCCAGCCCACACTAATGCTTCCTCCGGTACCAAGGGCTCGTCTCTGATGGTCCCAGATAATGGTATGCGGATCATCACCACAGCCTGTGCTTCACAGATGTATTGATGTGCCCATGCATAGGTCAGGCGTCGGCCTCGTCCGGTTGCTACCATATGAGGTACGGGTGACGAGCAGGCATGTCGTGGTCGTGCATGAGATGGGTGTTGACGTCGATCAATTGTTGCCGTACTGGAAACGGTTCCCGACGCCGGGCACAGACCGTATGCATGACGGGTCTCGACGTTCATAGGTTAGGACTGTGCCCGAGACGGGCGTCGAGTTGCGACAATACGCGAGATTGGTCGTCGCGTCATGATCGTATGCGAGACGAGCGTTGGGTCGACCGGGTTGAGTTGCCTCTGGCTTAGAATTAGTGAACGAACCGCTCGACATCGTTTCATCTCTCGAGGCGAACGACACATGTTGGGCATTGGTTCAGATTGCTAGGGTGGTCGTTCCGTGGCCATTGGATCGGAGATGATTTGAGCCGTTCATTTTCCTTTAAATAGGGCACTTAGTCAAGACAATCTTCATCATTTGCCTTCAACAACTTGAACCTTCAAAGGCCTCGGCCTTCAACTTTGCTCACCCTTAAACATTCCAAGACCTCATTTGTTAGGTAAAGACTTGAATCTTAACCATGTTCTGTTTTGACTCTAGCCTTGAGTGCTACAAGCTTCCTGACCTGTCGGGCACAAGCTTGCCTCTTACTACCACGTCGGCCAGCATTAGCAATAGCGAGAGCTATGGTTGTGAGTTTGAGGGCATGCCTCTGAGGCCTGGGATCCAAGTGCTGAGGGAGAGGATTGCTCCTATCGACGCCAAGTGCAGCTGACAGGGCGATGATTCTCCCCATGAAAGTGTTGGGTTGACAAGGCCGAGGGACGACGAGGGTGCCTTAGGATCGCCAGAGGGAGGGTGAAGAGGCTCTTGAGACGAGCCCTATGTTGGTGGTCGAGTACGCAAGTTGGGGCATAGAAATAGAGCGCTATCCATGCTCCGAGTTGGATAGCCTCCTTAGCATTGAGCAAGAGAAGGCTCTTGCTAAGGAGTACCACATCCTAAAGGGGTATAGGCTTAGGGTCCCTAACGTCGGTGATCAGTCGTGGCAGCCATACGAGGGGGAGGTGTGTGCAAGAGCACTACCTCCAGTTTGGCCATAGGTTTCCCCTTCCTCTCTTCATTCCCAAGTTGTTGAGATGTTACATCTCATTGAGTCAGCTGACCCCCAATGCCATCACAACCATTATTGCTGTGATGGTGATGGCTTGGCTCCGAGGCATCGAGTTGATGACAAAGATCTTTCGATGCATATTCATCCCGAGGCAATATCCCTCCGAGGCGGGTATTTACTACTTCCAGGGACGTCATGGGAGGGTGGTCGATAACCCGTCGTCCAAGCACAATTGGAAGAACAAGTTCTTCTTCGCGTCTTGTCTCGAGGGCTGGTCTTTTAGGTCAGATTGGGGGAAGCTAGACCTCGTAACCGAGAGGATTACACCTTGGTAACAAAGACGAGGAGGCCGAGGTGATAACCCGCATACGATTGTCTAGGACCATCAGAGTCGAGCCTTTGGTATCGGAGGAAGCCCTCAAAAGCCGAGGCCAACGCCTCCACTCCTTTGAGCTATGTTATCTCCGGTAAGGCCAAGGCCAAAACTGATGCCTCCCCTCTTTAGAGCCAAGCTATCTTTGACAAAGCCAAAGCCAAAGCTGACGTCCTCACGCTTCTGAGCCAATCTATCTCCAACAAAGCCGAAGCCGAAGCTGACGTCCTCACGCTTCTGAGCTAGGCTATCTCCGATGAAGCCGAAGTCGAAGCCGAGGTCCTCGCCAGAACACATCACTTAGCGCCTCCTAGAAATAACGCTACACTCCCTTCAACCGAAGCTGAGGTCCCCACTTAAACCTACACCATGGCCTCGAGAGTGGAGGGCAAATGATATAGACGCACATGACAAACCCAGAATGAAGACACGTGGCACTAGCCAGATCGCATCCTGACCGTCCGCTCATAACAAACTGGCTCAAGTATAAATAAGTGGTGTCATTCTCTAGATAAACTATTTTAGCATTTATTGCTCTAAGCTCTCTAAAGCTCCCTKATGACCTCATTTGAGGTATCTCTACTTAGGCCTCATTTGACCCCTCACTACGCCCTTGCCAACTTCAGTATCGAAATCTCCGCCCGTGGGATAACATCCGCGGCCTCTAACTGGCCCTCAACTCTATTATCCCTCGAACTCAATCAGCCCTCGTCTCAAAASTAAAATTATAYGGTTGCGCTCGACACGTCCTTGCCAACAACAATTACTAAATAATTTTTTTTTCAAAAATTAATAAAAATTAAAAATCATAAATGATAATAATTGTACAATGAGTACATGTTTTAGAATATCATATAATTGATTGCAATGTTTATTTTACGTGTTTTTATACACTTGCTAGCATATCTAATCATTTCTTCGACATCTTTTTTAACTGTATGTATGAATTTCCCAAATATATCTTTCGTAAAAATCAACATTCATCTCCACCAAGGGTGTGGCATGATGTATTGCATTGCATAGTCTCACACTCCCACCTCCCGCCCACTAGGCGCGGGAAATGAAGCCTTGAAACTTGAAAAGTTTGGTGTCGGCAAAACTCAGAAAAGAAAAAAAAAAAAAAAAGAACAAAGCTTCTGATGAGGACACTTATTGGTGGTCGTATCAAAGGAAAAGGCATCATATATTCGTATTTCTTTCATTAAGGTCCCACATAGCATCTTACTTATGATCTTAATCAAGCATAGCCACCTGCCCAGCATATCTTATATGAAATAATAGGTATGYTTAGTTTTATTTTGTGAGATGACAAAACATTTGTACAAAAAAGAGGCCAACAACACAAGGGTCTTGACTTGGGACAAAAGTTGTATACGTATCGTAATCGTATGAGGGAGCCTAGCCTAGCCTATCTTCCTCGTTAAGCCACCGCGCTGTTATTGAAAGCAAGCCCCCTCCCTCTGTAACTCTGGTTCTGGAACTGGAAGTTGCTTTATGTATGTGACGTAATGTTTTCTACTTTTCTTCCGGCATGCCATTTCTTCTCTGTTTCTAAGGATTGTTCTCCGCAAATATATCCAACAGGGCAAGTGCCTGCCAAAATTACACGCAAATAGGTGAGAACACAAAAGCAAATATAATCGTTAATATTTACCAGTCCACATATGGAGATGAGCGTCAAAATAAATAGTAATACCTCTGGTATATTGAGTTCTAAGCGGAATTTGGGGCCATCATAGTGATGAAGGATCGGTCTGAACGAGTCTTCCTCTAATGGTTCGCAGTTTTTCCTTGTAACAACTCTTACCTGTCAACCACATCCACACCCACACCACCATACATCAGATTCACAACCGCAACAATTATCCTTCTTTGATCATAGTAAATTAACCAAAACACAGTAACAATTTTACAGCAAACCCCGACTAGTCTCCCCTTCCTACCTCTTTCTCCCTACGTTAATTCAACAACATCAACAAGTCTAACAGAAGAAAAACCTCCCCAATAGATCCAGAGGTGAGAGGAGGACTAATGCTTGCAGTAACCATTTTCGAATCAGATAAGCCTTTTCTATTAAAGAATGTGATAAAAAATCAGAGTCGTATAGCACCTCTTAAGTACTAGGATTCTACGCATCATTCTTAGGCATCGAATCTATGTGTCCATACCACAAATTAAGCACACAGTAAAGAAAGAGAAGGACCAAATACCTGCGCAGGGAAACGCGATTCACCAGGATTCTTCTTGTCCTCCCAAGCAGCTGGATCGATGTTCGTTCCTCCAAAACTCGCAGCCTAAAGACAATTGGATAACGCATAAGAGATTTTAAAAACCTAGAAGACGTATCGTATCTAGATAGATATCTACCCGACAATTTTGTCTGAATCATCATAACTCAAAATGGTATTTTTTTCCAAAGAAAAATAGAAACGAAATTAATCCTATATCAAATAGGAATTAACGCCAAAATGATAATGGCATGGAACTGTCAAGGAAAAAAAAAATATGATAAATACAAACCTCGAATATTCCGTGGAGTTGGTGGGTGGAATAGTTATAGAGGAAGAGAGGCAACCCCGGTGTTATAGCTCGGACTGAGTCTCTGTATCGTGGAGGCAGACCTGAAAATCCAACCAACAGAATGGAAAACCAAGAATTCAGTAAACAATGTACAAATCCCACTCCCAATTTCAAAAGATTAAACGACCGATCAGTCAAGAAAACACACTACAGTATTACAATTAAGTCCTTTTCTTTTCACTTTCGGCTGCAATTGTTTCTCCGTTAAAGGGGAGAGAATATAACTCAAATATTTCAGGCTGCAGAATTCTCCATTTTTAAGATGAAAGGAATGCAACAAAAAAAAAGGGTACTGCTTCATATTTGGGTTATATAACCCAGTGATACTTCTTTCGGTCGTCCTCGCGCGTGACAGAGAAGGGCACTTACCAAAAAGCTGCCTCTTGAGATTTTCCTGCATGGTGTCGTTATTGCAGACGAAGATGTATCCACCAACTGCTTCAAATCGAGGCAGAGATTCCGATGGAGGAAGAGTCTTGAATCTCTTGGCAACGCTGGTCTTGCTGTTGTTGCTGTTGTTATCGTTTTTGTTTCCACCTTTACCCTCGCGATCGTCATCGTTTTTCTTGTTGTTCTTACTGCTCTTCTTATTGTAATTGTAATTGTTGCTGTTGCTGTGACTGATGTTCATGTTGTTTCCGGTCTGTTTCGAGTAAATACCCTTGTTGGAGACTCCATTAACGGCAACGTTCTTATGGGTCGCTCCGATATTAGTCCCGATCTTCCAATCAACATTGAAGACATTATGATCCGAACCCTTGTTGAAGACATCGTTAACAGCGGCAACGTTTTTCTGGGTCCCTCCGATGCTAGTTCCGATCTTCCAACCATCATTAAAGACATTATAATCGGAGCCCTTTTGCTTCAAATTGGCAGAGGAAGACCTGTCACCGCCGACCCTGATGTCGAAATTCTTCCTCTCCTCAGGCCTCTTGGAAGTGAAGGAATTCCCCCATATTGAATCGTTAAGAGAAAGATTTGCCAAGTTTGTCGATTGTAGCCTCAGCTGATCGCTGAATTGCCAGAACGAATGCTGATTGTTCTCCATTTTTCTCCTTTGATGATTCGAAGATATTTGAGCAGAGAGGAGGAGGGAGTCTTGAGATGGAGATGAATAGAAAAAAGAAGAAAAGAGGAACCCAAGTAAACGAGGCCGATAATCCAATAAATGTTGGAAGAAGTGAGGATATATAGGAAAGGATCAGAGGATTGAGATGGGAAGGGGAGAGAAATTTCAAGGAAGGTTAGAGTGAGAGGGGGGAGGGAGGAAATTGTTTATTCCGTGTAGATTTGTCCAATCGGAGAATTTGGAAAGGAAATTTGCATAGTCTACAGATTTGGTATAGTAAATTAGTAAGTAGTCGATGGGCGTGATGACGCAAAACCGCGTATTTTCTAGAAGAAAGAACAAAAAAAAAGAAGAAAAGAAAAGATTTGAGATGGATGACGAGGTCGGCCATTTTCTTTTTAGAATTTTAAAATTTTCAAAATTTCTCTTGGGTTTTCTAGAAGGTGAGTCAAAGCCTGGACTTGGTTCGTTTACTTAACAGCTAAGCTAAGGGAAGCAGAAAGCCAGGTTTGCTAGTAACAAAAGTATAGAGTAGGGACAGCCGGACAGCACTCTCATGTATCGAGGATTAGGTGGTATAAAACTGTMAGTGCCTAGCTTTGTTTGTTTCGGTTTATGGAGAGACGTCTTACACGTCTCCAACCACGACGAACACGTTTAGGGCAATTTTTCAAGTCCATTGGGTTGGGCCTGTGATGGATTAATCCATAGTAAGGTTAAGGCCCAGGCCCACAACCATGTTGACACGCTATATAGCCCTCCATTTATGGGACTGATCTAACCTCAACATTATTACTGCTTGCAGTTAACACTACACACGTTCAGACCACCATCTGAAATTGAAAATTTCAATTCATCTCTCTCCCTCTCACTCTCTCTCTTGCAGAATCTTGTGCTACTCAACATTGTATGATCAAATTGGAAAGTTCATTTCATCCGCAACGATGAACAGTGGAAGGAAACAAGAGCTGGAGACAACAAATTTTGTGAAGAATCTCTAAAACCATTCATTACACGTACGTGGCGACGTACTGACAATTAAAAGGTTGAAGACTCAAGAGCACACGAATAGAAGCCCTAACTAATAACAGTAGCATGTCTAACAACTCACTTGTCTTCGAGATAGGGGTGGTAAATGAGTGGGTTGGGTTGGGTGAGGGTTGAGTATAGGGGTATTACTGTTCAGTCTGTTCAAATTTGTTACACCTATATTCATATCTTCTATCATTGGGCCAGATAATGGCTCAATCCAATATAAATTCATTATGGGCGGACTAGATCCAATTCAATATGTCTAATTGGTTTATTCAGTCCATCCAAATTCAATATGTCTTATTGGTCTGTCCAATCCATCCAAATTGATTTTGATTTGGATGGAGCTCAAACCAAAACYAGTCTATTGACACCCCTAGTTGAGTATTAACCCACCCACACTGACCCTTTAACCCATTTTCCACCCATATTTGTTGATATTAGTGGGTCACAACCCACACTAACCCTGACCCACTCTGACCGACTCTAATGTATATATCAATAAGGAAAATATAAAAAATGATAAAAAGTTCAAAAAACATTTTTTAAATTAAAATAAAAATGTCAAAAACACTGAAAATGATAAATATATTTCATGTAAAACATAAAAAAATTATAGAAAAAATAATAATAATTAAATGAAAGTATCATTTCACATAAAAACAGAAAATTGTATAAAACATACAAAATTACAGGAAAAATGTCAAAAAATTATGAAAATGCAGAAATTTATAAAAATATAAAATAAAATAGAAATTGCATAAAAATAAAAAAACTGTAAAAATTAAAGAAAACAAACACAAAAATCGCAAATAAATAACAAAAAATACAAGAAATATATAAATTGCAAAAAAAAAGACAACAGAAATTATGAAACATTACAAATTATAGAAAACACTAAAATGCAAGGAAAATAATAAAAATTGTAGAAAAAACAACAAAAATTATAATCAAGCAAAAAACTTGCAAATAGATGACAAAAGTACAAGAAAACCAAACATATTAAACGTAGGGAAATTACAGAAATTGATAAGATTTTTTTTTTGATGTTTTAATATAAAAAAATTGGTGAACACAGATCTGATTTTGAACCCAGATAAACCAGATCTGTCACTGCCCTCTCTTCACGGTGAACACAGATCTGTCATTGTCCTATCTTCAATAAAGGAGACGATGAACACAGATTTGGTTTTGAACCAGATCTAATGTGAATCTAATCTTGAACATGCCATTCCACACTCCAAATCGTTGGTGATTGTCGTCTATTGAGAACAAATTGTTGACTTGAGAGTGTGACGGTGGAAGATCTCATCTCAACGACAAAAAACCAAATTTCAATTGAGACTCCTAATCCTGTTTTGAGTTTCAATTCTTCTTTTACCCAACTAACCCCAACCCATCCTAACCTTAATGGGTACTCTCGACTCAACCCACCTTGACCCTTTTCACCTGACCCTAACAGGTCACTCGACCCATATTGACCTACCAACAGAATGGATGGGTATAGGTGAATTGCAAGATGGATTGGGGTCAAGATTGCCAGTCCTAATTCAAGAGGCTGGAATCCTTATGTGGGGAGCTCATCCGAACTCTATCTTTGATGGACCTGGACCAACCATCGAGGGGGTGTTCATATTTGTTTTTAACACCTCATAGTAGGCCGTGTACATTGGGCTTAGGTTTGTAACTAGGACTACTCAGGTAATAAGTTGATAGAAAGCTAGAGTCGTGGTTTTATTTGTTTGATTTATCATAACATATGAATATTTTATGTCCCTTACAACCCATTCATATTAAAAAAAGGATATTGGGTGGCAATTAAATTGAGCTCTAATCGAATAGTTTGGGTTTAAGTTTGATTAGGTCCAGTTTGAGGTCAATTTTAATCAAGTTCAAATCTCAAGGTAACCTTGATTACTTATTCGAACTTAAGCTTGGCTAATAAAAAGTTTAGCTCAAAAGCTTGCAAATTTAACTTGATTAATAGTATTTTAGTTGAATCGAGCCAAGATATACAGAAGTTTGGCTTGGCTCGACTTGATTGCACCCCTAGTTTAATCCACTCAAAGTCTCAAACCAAACACGAACAACCTACTTTACCTCTCTATTTCTCTTAATAGTTTGAATTAATGTTTTCAAACCACCTTGACCTTGACGGTCAGACTGTTCAGCCCAGGAACCATCCAGGCAACTGTCCATTCAATAGTTTTGGCCATTTTTTCTTTAATATTTTTTTATATTTTTTATCAGAACGAGCCATCCGTTTAAACCATCAACCTAGAAATCGATGGTCAGAACAGTTCCAATTCCAGGTCATTTATTAAAACATTGGGTTGAATTACTCATTGAGTTCTAATTTTTAACTTTGGTTATCATTGCTGCTTCTACTTGAAACAATTTTGGTTGATCAATAAAGATTGGTGAGAGATTTAGTTTCTCTACCTGAAACGTTTTGGGTCGATCAAATGCAAATTCTTGTTTCTACATGAAACTATTGAAATGCCAATGATCAGTTTCAAACATGCATTTTTTGAGCTAAAATGATTCTCGTATGTGATGTGAATATTTCTCATCGATTTGTACTGATAAAAAAAAAAAAAAGCTTCAAGTAGAAATAAAAATGATACCGAATACAACCTAAATTGGTTGGCCTAGGTTGAATAATGGGTACTCGTTGGATTTACTATATCAATTGCATTCAAGGTCCCCCTCTCTCTTCTCCAGATACACTATCTCTAACACACACACAAGCACAAATATATAAACATCTATAGGTGATGTGGCTAGGTAGGGCGGATATGAGGGTAACAGGTTAAGTGAATTGGGTTAGATTGGATCCCCCACGGCCCATCTGCATATTTGCTATGTAAAACGTGTGATTAATAAGTTTGTGGTTGCCTATTAATGTTGGACCTATGGGTGAATTGGGTTGGATTGGACTTGCACTAACTCACCCCAATTGCGACCACCTGCAGATATCTACGCATTAACACGCTAAAGTCAACCTGAAGAATAGTATAAAGGCCAAACAAATATTATGTTGGGCTCTCAAGAATTCTTACACCAAGTGTTGGGCTGCAATTTTCCTATAGTGGGCTAGGCAGGCCAAATTCTAAGACCCATTTTATTTAGTGCACCAATCCAAGCGTTTACATGCTATTGCTGGTTTGAGAGGGAGCCTCTCCAATTCAAAAGTAGCCTGCGAATTGGGAGTTGAAGCCTCTTTGTTCAACCTTTAGCTAGAGTCAATGTTCGAAGGCCCATTTGGGAGGGCTGAGCTGCAGATTTAGATAAACTGGTTCAGCCATGAAACAGACAGCCCTCAAAATGATGGGCTAACAGCCAATTGTTTTACTAAAATAAAGATTCCTAAGGCTGTATTTGGTTTGAAGGAAAAGGTAGAAAAAGGAAAGGAAAGGTGGGGAAAYCTATACATGGTTTATAAAGGTTTTCCTACCTTTCCCTTTCCCTACTTTTTCCTTCAAATCAAATATAGCCTAAAACTCCATTAACTCGAGAATTCTGGTTCAAAATATGGGTTTTCTTTTTTCTTTTTTTTGGTTTCCCTTGTTTTTGGTGAGTTAACTCATCACTTGAAACGCCATCGACCTACCCCACTTTTGGTTGCCAAACCCAAGAATTATATTTTAGATGCTAAGCTTTGAGTTTTTTTGGAAATTAGATCCTTTCATTTCCTTCTTGTTGCATATCCTATGAGGATATGGGAGAAGAATGAGGTTGAAGATTCCCTACCTCCATATAATTTAGCATGTGACAAATAACACTAACTCCTATTGTTGGTCATCTGAAATTCATATGGTCATTAACTCAGTAAGAGTAGGCTTAGACGATTCATAATTTTCATCCACCCTTGCTTGTTGTTGGATAACACTAAGCCTAACCAGGCTCATTGGCTCAAGCATTTGAGAAAGTTGAAAGTTGCCCTTTCAAACATTGCTCTTTCATTTGAGATATTTTTATATCAATCTCAACATTGCTCTTTTTTTCTGTATTTTATATACACTTAATATAACCTCCACTTATTTTGATGATTTGAAGCATAAGAATAAACCATACAAATGGGAGGGCAACCTTCTAGGAAGACAAATCATTTTTAGTCTTCAGTCCTCACATTCTTAGCAAACATGAAAATTTATGTCAGTGGAGTTTGTTT